AGAGAGAGTGGGAGAGTGGGGGAGCCATGGAAAGTCAATGTGAAAAAGTGATATACAGAAGGACTCTATGGGGAGCAAGGCCCACACATAAAAAGAGATTTTTACCCAATTTATGACTCCATTTTAATATAATGTCCAATGCTGTTTGCGTTTTGCTCCATTGCGCGGCGACCCTCCCCTCCCCACTCTCATGCACATTTTCAATTTCGTTTTCAATCTATGAAATATTTCGAAATGCATCATCGAAAAGGAAATCGGGTAAATTTTAGACGTTCTTTTGGCCACAAAATGGTTCATTATAACGCCGTCTGCCCATTGCTGTTGCTGAATTTTGCGGTTGCTGAACGAACAACTGCCCACACCACCGACACAAAAATCTAAACAAATATATGGCACAGCGCAGGCAAGTGTCTCTCGACTGTTGGGATAGCCCATAAATTACGCATCAAATATATCAAAATAAATTTCCATTTCATTGTTTTGGCTGTAATAAGTTGGCAAACCTTAAGATAAGCTTGGGAGATATATTTCTTATACTCTCGCAGTTCGAGGCACCTTTTTGGACTATAAAATTGTGCATTTATAAACAATTTATTCGCACAAGAGTCTGATCATTAAATCTGTGTCTTTGCATTGGATTTTCATTGAATAAATATATCGAACAAATTTCCTATCTATCCTTTTTTATGGTACCGCATCGACAATCGTTATGTACATTCATATAAGCCCTGAAAGTCATACGCTACAGGGTATTAAAATCTGATACATGAACGAAATTGGAACTCTGGCGACAGGCTGCCATTTGCATTTGGTCCAGTCCATAGATGCCTGCCAGCTAGGCATAAATTCTATTATAAATAACATTTAGAGCGAGAGCCGAGAGCCAAGCGCGGCTTTTGCATTTGTCAGCAATGGAAATTGGACTGAGAATATATATATATGCACCTAAATGTTTTATGTGTGTGTGCTGTGTAGAGGGGAAAATACAAATTGTGGTTTCTAAATTGAACAGCGAACAACACGGAGTCTGAGGGAAATTGAGAGTGGTTGAGCCAGAGCCTCTGTATGTGTGTGTCTCTGTTTCTGTCTGTATTAGATGCATAATCAGATTTGCTGATTTAATTTTTCATGAAATTTTCTTAATTTTTGTGCTATGCGGTTTTGAGGCAACCAAAATGATTGAGTGCCAATGACAGGAGACAATCGGGCAGAATGGATGGCAGAATGGATGGCAAAATGTGATTATCATATCAGTGTCGAGCACAACACAGGATGTGTGTTTCAAGGCACATTTCAGTGCATTTAATAGACTCACAGTCGCACTCAGATAAACTGATTTGCAAGGCACTGACAAGCTGAAGACGTGGCTGTTGCCACCACACGTATCTTCAGTTCAATCAGCATAATGAAAATGCTGTGTGCATCAATTAAGAGTCACCCAATCAGCCTACCGGCAAATTACCGCCGCTAATTAACGTTTCATAAACTGTTTCTGTGTGTGTATTATGCACATTACGTATACGAGTATGTCGTCATTCAGTCACTCAGTCAGTCAGTCGTTTGGTTGGTCTGACAATCTATCAGGGCAAAGGGAAATTAATGAAATTAGCAATGGTTAAGCGCAAGCGAGCGACTTGTAAACGCGGCACCAACAATCGCTAAATGCAAACAATCAGATGTACGAGTATGTGGCAGCAACAAACAAACTGAAAACAAAAAACAAAAAAAACAAATAAAAATAATTACGCAAAAATTGTCATAATTACAGCATCATCACAAACACAGACAACAATTGCCACAAATTGTGACAATTTGCCGCCTGATTAATGACCGTCTGTGGCCATCCACAGCAGACACAATAGACGCACAGATGTGAGATTATTTGCGGTAATATTTTATGGCCATCAATTGAAAATGATATTCCCGGAACAGAGCAGAATTCAACCGTCAAATCAAACAGATCTTTTAGAACTAAAAGGCTATGCACAGATTAATGTATCAGCTGCCAGAGAGTATCTGCTGTATATTTGTTTATGCATTCATTGGAAATTGGAATTAGTGATCGACAGGAGCGGCGGCATTGATCCAATTTTAGATGCTTTTCACAGTGCCTCATCCACATCCACAAATGAGTATCGATTGAGGCAACATTTCCACACAATTATAAAATTATCGAAATGCAAATAGACTTCATGATTAAGCTAAGTGAAGCTAAGTTAACCCACCTGTCAATTGCCAGCTGAAGGGTTCCTTCAGATTGTGCTGTCACTTGCTCCCCGCAGGAAACAGAAATTCAGTTCATCGTTTACTCCAAGCCCTGAAGGTACCGCCACACAAGTTTAATAGTTCAGATATGTTTGGCAAAATAAAACTAGTGCTGCTACTGCTCCTGGCTCAAGCAGTGTCCGAGAAAACAGAGCAACCCCAGCTGATATTCCTCACCGAACTTATCCAGAGTGCCCACAAACAAGAAGCAATTGGGACTTTGCTCATGCTGCAGCACCATCAAGACAAGAACTGCTCCATCCAGGATTGGAATCCCGACGGTATTCCCATTCTACGTACCAACGAGCTTAATCAAATCGAATTACGGAAGAACTACAACAACGAGGCCTTGGCGCTGGTCTGCCTACAGGAAACTTCGCATCTAATTCTGCTGCTGAATGCTCTGGCCAAGACCTTCGATCATTTACGGTATGGGCGAGTTATTCTGTGGATGCAAGGGAATCCAACAGAGGACTTTCTAGAAGAGATCTCCAGCCAGGTTGAGGAACATAAATTTACTCGAATGCTCGTTCTGGGCTATCATCCAAACGGAGGAGTTTCCGTCCATCGTCTATGTCCATTTCCTAGTCCTCGCTTTGAGCGGATTGCCAATTTTTCGAGCATTGAAGAGTCCACCTGTTACCAAAATGAACTCAACTTTCAGGGAAAAAAGGCAATTGTTTTGGCCAATCTAAAACGCCCATTTTGAATTTAACCACCAAGTCTGCACCGACTGGGATTTTCCCCATCACCCGGAACGAGGACAGGCAGATATTTGAGTTTGCACTCAAATACAATTTGTCTCTGGAAATGACTGAGCAACAGGATTCAAGGGACTAATCCGCACTACGATATTCAGTTAAATCCGCGCCTACTTTCGACGAGCGAACTTGCCGGTCAGATTGAAAGTGCTCATACATTCACCTCATCCTCGCTGATGGTTGTGGTGCCCTGCGGCAAGGCAAAAAGCATTACAGAAGTTTTCTATAAGCTGGATTTGCGGACTTGGTTCTATTACATTCTATCCGTCTATGTCATATTCGTGGTGGTGGAGTGCGTTATTGTTGTTACAACCTACCGCATCTCAGGTCACTCCTATCGACTGACCGGCCTGAATCCTTTCACAAATATGCGCGCATTCCGGGCCATCCTAGGACTGCCATTTCCCACTGCACCTCGGGCGAGCGTCTCGCTCCGCCAGCTCTTCCTGGCCATGAGCATATTCGGGATGATCTTTAGCAACTTCTTCGGCTGCAAGTTGAGTTCCCTGCTGACGAAGCATCCCCTGGAGCCACAGGTGGAGAACTTCGAGCAACTTCAGGGGAGTGGCCTGACCGTGATTGCAGATACGATCATCCAACCCATCATCGAGATCGAGGTCAATAAAGAGTTTTTCAGGCGATATTTACAACATGTGGAGTACATGGATACTCATGAAAGAGTTCGCTTGATAGTCGGGACGAACGACAGTCTCGCCTTTATAGTTTTAGCAGAATTCTGGAAAATATTCGATACCTTTCAGCAGTCGATTGGACGGAAAACTTTTTGCTCGTCCAAGAACCTATCAATTATACAGAATCTGCCGAGAATGTACGTCATGGAGAAAGACTCCATATATAGGCGGCTAATGTACAGGTTCTTCATGTCATTTTACGAGTCAGGAATCCCCGCCCATTGGCAACGCATCTCACCAACAATTATCCGAAAGTATCTCAATGTCACTATCGAACCAAAACTAAAGCCAGCATTCGAGCCTTTGTCCTTGCAGCACCTAATGTGGCTCGGTTGGGTCCTTCTCTGCGGCTACGGCTTGGCCACTTTGGCCTTTCTTGTTGAAATCTACATGGGAAATGCGAAGAAAAAGGTTGCAAGAAAAGTTGCTCCTACACCTCCAGGACATCGCTGCTGTATAAATAGCAGGTGAAAAATATAAATGTAACATTGCAAAAATATAACAAGTAAAATTAATATCCCCAATGTATCCATTTGAATCTATTTTATAGTATATTTTTTGCTGGCACATTCTAAATAAAATATTCCCAATTTATTTAAACTTTACTTAATTTTCAAATGGTTTTCTCTAAGTGATAAAACTAAGCAAACGTCAAAGCAGGACTCAGTTAAGTGGGGTTTCATCAAAGGATTGACAGCCATCTTTTATTGTTCAGATGTCAATCGATGGAGTCGTTAACTTAATGAAATAACTACGTGGAAATGTCAGTTGGCTATTTGGTGACATTTTCGCACAAATAAAAAGAAAAAGTATAAGTATATACTTATGTATCTTTCCTTTAATCATCAACGCCTGGGAATAATCCTTTGACGAATATACGATTGAGGAAGCCTGCCCACCACATCAAAGTTTATCAGCACTATATAAAGGTTGATTTTTGCATTCCCTTAATGCCGAAACCTTGGGATGTACGTAGATGCGTATAGTTTTCAAAGTCCACGAAATTCTCAAACTTCTAGCCTCAATAAAAATTAAAAGCCAAGAGCAAATCGGTGAAGATACAGACACTTAGACAACTTTATTAGGCGCGTAAAATCGTTGGATGTAAAAGGTGCAAAAATAAATATTTAGTGAAATTTTTAGCCCACTTTTTGGTGCTGTTTACTGAGTCGATGCACTCAGCACTACTTTAATCTTGCCAATAATCTTAATCCATTGAATGTTAAAGAGATAAATACAGATAAATATTTGAGTAATTTTTGCATTGATAAATACTTTAATTTTAAGCAGCGATCTCCTGGTTCCCTGGAGCTGCAGGAGCAACTTTTCTTGCAACCTTTCTCTTCGCATTTCCCATGTAGATTTCCACAAGAAAGGCCAAAGTGGCCAAGCCGTAGCCGCAGCCAAGGACCCAACCGAGCCACATTAGGTGCTGCAAGGACAACGGCTCGAATGCTGGCTTCAGTATCGGTTCAATAGTGACATTGAAATACTTTCGGAGAGAAATTGGACAAATGCGTGTCCAATGCAAATTTATTCCCGACTCGTAATATAATACGAAAAACTTGCTCAGGGGCCACCAATAAATGGAATCTTTTTGCAGCAGGAACATCCTCGGCAGATTCTGTAGGATCGATAGGTTGTTTGATTCGCACAAGGTCTTCACCCCGATCGCCTTCTGCACATTATCAATCATTTCCCAATAATCGCTAAAAAATATAAAAGCAGCACTTTCGTTCGTAGTCATTATCAATCTATCCCGCTCCAGTGGATCGATGTACTTCACATTTGGCAAATATCGCCTGAGAAACTCTTCACTGACCTCGTTCTCGATGATGGGTTGGATGATCGTATCTGCAATCACGGTCAGTCCACTCCCCTGAAGTTGCTCAAAGTTCTCCACCTGTGGCTCCAGGGGATGCTTCGTCAGCAGGGAACTCAACTTGCAGCCGAAGAAGTTGCTAAAGATCATCCCGAATATGCTCATGGCCAGGAAGAGCTGGCGGAGTGAGACGCTCGCCCGAGGTGCAGTGGGAAATGGCAGTCCTAGGATGGCCCGGAATGCGCGCATATTTGTGAAAGGATTCAGGCCGGTCAGTCGATAGGAGTGACCTGAGATGCGGTAGGTTGTAACAACAATAACGCACTCCACCACCACGAATATGACATAGACGGATATAATGTAATAGAACCAGGTCCGCAAATCCAGCTTGTGGAAAACATCTCGAATGGTTTTTTCCCTGCTGCACGGCACCACAACCATCAGCGAGGACACAGAAAAGGCATTCACACCTTCAGTTCGGCTGACAAGATCGTTCTTTGACACAAAGCGCGGAGTTAACTGAATATCAAAGGGCGATTCGGTTGTCTTGGAATTGTTGTTGGCATCTAGTACCAGAGTCAAATTGTATTTGAGGGCAAACTCAATTATCTGCCTGTCCTCGTTCCGGGTGATGGGGAAACTCCCAGTCGGTGCATACTTAGTGGTCAATTTAATGGGCGTTTTAAGATTGGCCGATACGATTGCCTTCTTTGCTTGGAAGTTGAGTTTATATTTACGGAAAATGCTCGAAATATTCCCAATCCGCTCAAAGCGAGGGCTGGGAAATGAACTCAGACGATGGATGGAAACTCCTCCGATTGGATGATAGCCCAGAACGAGCATTCGAGTAAATTTATGTTCCTCAACCTGGCTGGCGATCTCTTCTAGAAAGTCCTCTGTTGGATTCCCATGCATCCACAGAATAATTCGCCCATACCGTAAATGATCGAAGGTCTTGGCCAGAGCATTCATCAGCAGAATTAAATGCGAAGTTTCCTGTAGGCAGACCAGTGCCAAGGCCTGGTGGTTGTAGTTCTTCCTTAATTCGATTTGATTCAGCTCGTTGGTACGTAGAATGGGAATACCGTCGGGATTCCAATCCTGGATGGAGCAGTTCTCGTCTTGATGGTGCTGCAGCATGAGCAAAGTCTCAATTGCTTGTTGTTTGTGGGCACGTTGGACAAGTTCGGTGAGGAATCTCAGCTGGGGCTGCTCTGTTTTCTCGGACACTGCTTGAGCCAGGAGCAGTAGCAGCACTAGTTTTATTTTGCCAAGCATCGCAGCTAAGTCCAGTTCGGTACCAGCAGCGTTTAGATGAAAGAGTGAACTGAGTTTGGTATTCGGAAATGCTTCTCTAATTGCTACCAGTCAACAAATTCCAAGAGGTTACGTTTGGATTTAATCAGATGACAGCTGTCTTTCAACGGTATGATATGATGGACATTCATGCACTTAGCTCCACAAAATTTAATTAAAGAAGGGGGAAACAATTTTTTAGGTTGGAGAATTTTAAAATATTTTTTAAATGTTTTTCTTTTGCAAAAAATTATAAAGTAAAATTTAAACAAATCTTTTCCGATACTACAGGATGTACAAACATACATATGTATGTACTCGGATGTATCAATCCTATAGTTTTTTAATTATTTTAACATCTTCAAATCTCAGCTGGCGTCAGAATTTATCTGCTTTATCTGTGGCTAGAGTTCCTTTGCTGCTGATCGGTGCCATATTTATGGGTCACTTGCTGAATTTATTTGTGCAACAATTGAGAAAGCAGCAGCAGCAGCAGAGCGACAAATTTTCTCAGACAGGCAACGTCTCAACAGCAGCAGCAGCAACGGCAGCAGCAGCAGCATCAAGCATTCTGCCGTCGCAGTCGTGAACCGTTTGTTGTGCCGTTTGGAACGAGGCGTTGTGCGCTTTAATGAAAAGTGAAAAACATATTTCCCCATCGCATTGGATGCGCCGGGTGTCTGAGCATGTGCCGTCGCCTGTCAGCGACTAACAAGTGTTACCCCTTACACCACCCTCCGTCCCTACCTAACCCTCTGCGGCGTGGGCGAAGCGGAAATGAGAAATTTACAGAAAAACAATTATTAATTATTACGTTTTGTCAACGTTTAACGTGTGTTCTCAAGTGTGTGTGTGTGAGTGTTTATTTGTGTAAATAATACCCAAAAAATATATAATGATATATTCTCACATGATCCGTGTAAGTGTAGCATTATAGCTCATTGGAATATGCAAATTTACGATCCAAAATAGTGTATATATTCCTACTAGCATCAATCAAGAAATGCACAACAAAGTGTAGCAGTTTTTCAATGCAAAAACAAACAGTTTCAATAGTTTTTTGAGTTTATATATTTTACTTTATATGTAAAGTAAATAGTTAGTCTTTTTCGATTTTACTTGTATTATATTCCACCTGTTGTTGGTATCCTCAAGTCGGAAGTTTCCACTAAACATACCATTATGATTTGTGTGTGTTGGTGGCAGAGGCAGCCTTTACTGCCACACACGCTCAATTAATTCGCCCGACACCTCACATCGGGCATGTCGCAATATTTTCACCCTGTCGCCGTTGCCTGTCGCATGCTTTAATAGTTTCACTAATTTCCAAATTTATAACCGCCCCTCTTGCCGTGTCTTACAAATCTGTTTTATGTATAGTCAAACATTTTTATCACCTTCGATATGGGAAATGCCAGCGTATCCAAGAAAAAACAAAAAAAACTGTTTGGAAAATCATAATCATCAGTAGATGGGGCTATGGTTCAAGTAGCTATATCCAGGGTCGGAGAGCATATTATGGTTGCAAACAAAGACCAGTTGAATCTCTCTCCGGTGCTCTCTGGCCTGCTCAGGTCTGCTGCTATCGTTCTGTTCTGGCATCAGTCAATGTCAGTTGGCCCAGTGCCAGGTCGACCGCGTGGGCGTAGACAAACAAACAAATGAAAGAACGAACGGAGGAACGAACAGGGCACAAGCACAAAAGCGGAAAAGCTGAAAAGCGCAAATGAAAAGGGAAAGTGTCCAACTTTTTCGGCCACAATGAGACACAGCCAGGGGCCAGAGATGGGTCTACCATTTTCAAGTAGTTTTCAGCCTCCACGCGTCAAGTATCAAGTGTTTTTATAACTAGAAATACAATGAGATATATGTATGTAGACAGTGCGTTCTATAACTATAAGGTACAGGGGAAAGCTTTCCCGCAACATCAGGGCAGAATGTACGTCTTTTGGTGGCGCCTTTTGAGGCCCAAAGCACTGCTACGCACTGTATACTCTTATGTCTATAATACACATAAATTTTGGCCACATATATGCGCTCGATGGCAAACATATGTTAAAGAAAAAAAAACGTCGACGACGACAAAAGCATGCCAAATATTCGTGGCATATTTTGTTTTGTGGCATTTCTGGCGTATTATTTTAATTTCTATTAATTTTTCGCCACCCGCCAAAAAAAAAACAAAAACAAAAACAAATTATAGCCACATTTTTTATGAGAATTTTTTAAATGGCTTTTATTGAATATTTGTGTGTGTTTTTTCAAGCCTATAGGTCTCGGCATTGGTCCAAGTGCAACAATTTATGATTTCATTTATCATTCAAATTGGTTTTGCCTCTCGCTTTCGTTTCTGTTTTATTTCACATGGAGAATATCTATCTGGACTTGTGCAATAATTGGCATGATATGGAAATGTAAATAACACAATGATATAATGTCGCTGCCATCTGGTTGAAGGCTGGCAAAATCTGTAAACTTGAACCACATTTGGGAAGTGGGTCAGTGGTTTTCATACCCGTACTCAAAAAGAGTTAAGGGGTATATTGTATTTGTGGTAAAAGTGGATGTGTTTAACGCAGTGAAGGAAACGTTTCCGAGCCCTTAAAGTATATCTCAGAGATTATACATTTTAGATGTAGAGTCGACATTGTATATGTAGATGTAGATAACAGATGTAAAATATTTTAAAATTCTACATAAATTATAAGCTCACAAATTTATTTACTGACTGAGTACGGGTATAAAAGTAAAGTCGCGTCCCCAGAAGCGACTCACACGTTCCATCTCGTTTTTCGTAGCAAGGATTTGACGGAAATTTCCTCTTTTAATTGTTCGAAGTCATTCATAAATTGATCTTGATCTTCGTTAGAGAAATGTCGATTCCATTTTCTATTTTATGCGACTGCATCATTTCCGTTTTCAAATATCGTGCCAAAAACGCAAACGTCATGCACTTGGCCAGACTGGATCGGACCGGACCAGACACCCCCAACTACGCTTTGACCAGCCCCATCATTTACGTACTCCTCCCTGTTCTATATATTCTTTTTCTTGATCTCTTGAAGGCGTTCGGTTCTTAATCTGTTTTTTTTTGAAAATAAATTCAATTCAATGGAAGGCAAAATGTGTGCAAAATGCGACGCTAAATTTCCGTAAATCCACGAAATTACGAGCAGTTCCCCCTGGATTGCCCATTTTTGTTTATCTATTTAGAGAGATTGCAGCGTTTTTTTTTTGGCTCTTGGGTGATCTGCTTAATGCCGTTGAATTAAATACACATTCATTTGTCTGTCGATCAGTTTCTATATCAGACAATGTAGTTGTATTTGCATCAAAATCTCAATTTACCTGTCCTTGAATTTTGAATATATTTCTCAAACTATCCATCAACATGTTATTACCAAATGAGAAGATCAATCATTCTATCAATCTATTTTGTTTATCCATATACCCTTAAGTCATTCTATTGATTAAATTTGAACTATCTGAATGTACATAGGTTTCCATTAAATGTCTAATTTTCGGTCTTTCTAAATAATGATTAAACTATCAATCGATATACATATGTTTAAAAATCTGTCGCTCTAGGGAACAGCTACCTCCAATCTTCCATCTATACATAAATCTTCCCATATACATATGTATATATACATATATTTATCTCTAACAATGTTCCGGCGCCTTATTTCGCCTCATTTAAGGTGACGTCAATGATCAGAGGGCCCTACGAAGAGCTCAACGTTTTTAGATATATTTTTAGCCATATTCTCGTTTGGAGAATCTGCGATTCTTGTTTTTTTCTTATTTATTTTATTCCTGCCTATAATTGGCTCGTTTATGTGCAGAAGCTAAGACCGTACGGGAACACATCCTGAACTTGAAATAGAACCATGGAAAGAGTGCTTGGGGGGGGAGTGGTGGGGGGAAATGGTTGGGGGGCCCGAACCAAACTGCACTGCACTGCACTCGGATTATGATGTTGTGCTCGAGGGACCGTGATTAGTTTATTTTTGGCACGTTCCCTGCAATTTGAACTTTGCTTTGAATGGAAAGTCTAATGACTGAGGAGTGGCGCTGACTCAAAGGCGATCTGACTCCAGAGTACACTGTAAAAAATAATGGTTGGAAGCATTTGTTTAGTTCGAGTTTTGCTTATTTAATTTGGCATACTTTTAGGAGTTTACTAAAAGCAACATTTCATTTAAATTGCGACACATTTGCTTTAGAATTGTTGGCCTGCAAAAATGTAACATACGTGGGAATGCTTTATGTCTCAGCAAATAACGAATAAGTTGAATAACCCTGAGCGAGCACTAAGCTAACATTTAACAATCAAATCGATGAATAATATTCGCTTTCGTTTGGAGTACATTCAGCTGTCAATGGACCCCCCAACAGAATTGTTCTGAGCAATGAGTGTTTTGCGCTGTTGTTGTTGCTCATGGGATGGGATGACACATAATGACGCATAGACGGACAATGGTTGTACTAGTCGAAGCAACAGCAGCGGCTTTCTCTACCCAACAATTAATATTCATAAGGCAATTATCCGGCTTACCATAAGATACGTAAATTTCTAGGCATGAGTGTGGTGTGGTGTGGTGTGGGGTGGGGTGGGGTGCATATGTGTGTGTTTATGATAATTAAAACATTAATTAAAGACGAGGTTTGCATGTCGACGATTTAGATACCCTCATAAATTAATTAAAAAATTAGATTAAATCTAACATGAAGTTCCGAGCTATAGTGACCCCTTTTTAGCTTGGGAACACTTGTCGAATGATGTGAATGATATTAGTTGGGTGTATAAAATGTTTAATAAGCAAATATACGCAGTTTTCTATGAATGAGACCAAAAGAGAGCATTATCTTAATGTTTTTCTGGCATTTTCACGATTAAATCCTCATTATTAAACTGCTTGTATCCAAAATTACAACATACATTAGCTATATTTCGATTGCCAGATTTTTCTAAATACTCTAATCTCATGGGAAATTGTTTTTTCCTCTATGCGTTACATGCTTCTGCTTGAAATGTGCATACCCTCGGCAAAGGTATGCCCTAATGAATTATGCCATGTGTCTTTTTTGTCAAGTGTACTCACAAAACACACACTTGCACTTACAACACACACTTATACACTTGCATGTTGTTTGCTTTTGTCCAGCATTGTCATCATCATCATCCTCATCATCAGCGTTCATTGCATGGAGCGGAGTGGAGCATCGACATTGGACTGGCTCACAGTTGCCGTTCAGCCGCCAGCAAAGTCGAAGCTGCCCCAATCCGCCGAAAAAGTCCGCGTGCGCGGAGCGTGTATAAACATTAGTAATTACTGCCAATTAAAGAGGGAGTACAAATGTACTAAGTGAGCGAACGGTGAAACTAATGCATGTACATTTTTCCCCCCCACAGGTTGAATGCATTTAATCTACAATAACAATACTTATTTGACACGAAATAACGATTTGTTGTGAGAAACGAAAACGAAATCAAAAGCAAAACGAACAACAAGAACCAACAACTAAACATAATTAATGCGGGGGATAAACAATTTAGACAGAAATTAAAATAATTAATAGAAGAAGGAAAAGGAAGACTCAGCAGTGAGGAAGAACACCTAAAGCGACTCAAGAGAGTATAAATAAAAGCAAAACAACGATCAACGATCAACGATGTTTAATCTGCTGCGACGCTCGCGTCAGAGAAAGAGCAAAAACCACGACACAAGCGACGAAGAGGATAAAAGTAATAAAGAGAGCAGCGGCAGCCCTTGTCGAAGCAGCTGCTCGCTGAGGCAACGGCAAAGAGAGAATGAGCACACCAACGAAGAGCAGCACAATGGAAGAGCACAACTGCCGGCCCACAGACGGGCGGTGATCGAGGAGCTGGAGGACTTTGCCGATGACAGCGACGAAGAGCGCAAAAGACGGTCGCCGCCGCCATGTGTAAAATTAGCAAAAACAGCTGCTAATGGCCGCCACTCCGAAGCAACAGCAGCAGCAGCAGCAGCACTCTCTCCGCTCCGCTCTGACAAACGGTATATAAATAACACAGGGCAGGCGGTAGTGGCAGGGGCTGCCGCTGCTGTTGCTGCTGTGTCGTCTGCCGTTGCTCTTGATGATGATCCAAATGCTGTGGCCAGTCCAAACGAGACAGCCACTGCGAACGCGAACGCGAATGCGAATGTGAATGCTAACGGTAACGGTAAGGAGAGCGGCAGCCACCAGCACATTGAAAAGGTGGCCAATCAGCTAATTGGCAATTGCCATAGCCCCAATATTGGGCCACTGATCGATGGCCGGCCAAGCGACACAGACACAGTAGTCGCCCGTCGAGAGCGTGCCGCAACGAACGAAGCAACACCAGCGACCAAACGACAATCAACGTCGCGCCTATCCCTGAGAAGCTTTGTTGCCCTGCCACTGGCCCTGAGTGGCACCAACAGTAACACAAATAACGCTACGATCCAGGACCTTGACTGTGAGACAGCAGCAGCAGCAGCAGCAGCTGCCAGTGTGACAAAGAAACGGAAAACTCTGCAAAAGAGTCGCGATTTTCTCAGTGAAATTTTCATGGCGCGTGGACGTAATCATCAGCGCCAGCAGCAGCAACAACAACAGCAGCAGCAGCAGAGAAGTCACCAGCAGCAGCAGAAACAGCAGCAACAACAGCAGCAGCAACAGCAGCAACAACAGCAACAGCAAGTGCAACACGGCAGTGGCAAGTGCCACACAGCAGAAGAAGAGAGCCACAAAAGTAACGATAACGATAACAGTAACCACGTAATCGATCAGGCAGCACTGGCAGCACGCCGCCTCACACACCTTGAAACGAACTCCGACCCCGCCACTGCCACTGCCGCCGCAGCATCCACAAATAGTTATCAAATGACTATGTCTAATAATAGACCAGAGAAGCATGGCCAGAGAGCATCCGAGGAGCATCAGCAGCATCAGCCAGAGAGCGAACTCAAGCGAGAGCGTCGCAGTAATTCAGCTGGAGCAGCACCGCATCATCAGCGCCCAGAGAGGCGAGAGCGCCATCGGCCAGAGAGTGGAGAGAGTGGTCATGGCAGACTATTGGCGCGGTCATGCAGTGCCGAGCCGCGAGATGGCAGCCCCAGCAGAGACTTCATTCAAGCGGCAAACGTCGTCGAGTGGCGGCGAACGGTGGCCCGGCACGCGGAAGCAGCAGAACAACGTCAACAGCAGCAGCCGCAGCAGCCAGGCAATGCAACATTGCAACAGCAACAAGGAGAGCAACAACAACAACAACAGCAACAACAACAGCAACAACAACAACAACAAACAAGTGACATAATAATCATGGGACAAACCAGTGCCAAGCCCAACGAAACAGCAACAGCATCGGCGCACAGCTCGCGGGCCAGCACGCCGCGTGAGTTCCGTGAGTCGATCGTGACTGCGCCTCAGGCACCGCCGCGCCATCACAAGTCACAGGATGCCACAGTGCCACAAATAACGGTGGAGGATTGCACCTTTGAGAGCTACAGCAGCAATGAAGAGCCGGAGGAGCAGGAGGAGAATGAGCCACAGGAGTGGCACAAACCGGAACCGGAAGTCTACCATGATTTCGATAGCGGCCTAAACATCGAAGAACTTAACGAAGCACACATTGAGACGCTCGAGGATGAGGTCTTTGCCACGGATATACCCTCCACCGTCTATCAGAACGCCAATGGCAGGCCCTGGACACGCCTCAGTCACGTCAAGCTGGAGAATGTCCAGGAGGAGGCAGAAGAAGAGGAGGAGGAGGACGACGAAGAAGAGGATGAGGATGAAGTGGATGAGGCAGTGGATATGGAGTATCAGCACCACAACCAGGCAACCACGCCCAGCGGCAACTCCAGGCAGTCGGCCAGCAGCGAGCGCAGCGCCCTGAAAAGTGACTCCAATCTGAGCAGCAGCTATGCGGATTCCGGCATTGGGGTGCACGAAGAGGAGCCACAGGAGAAGATGCAACAGCAGCAGCCGCCGCAACCGCCGCCGCGCAGCTCATCGGCAACGTCGGCGACCCATCCGCTGCAGCAGCAGCACCAGCACCGTCGGGACGGTCGCTCGCCCTTCACCCGCGACGGCTACTCCACGGACTGCGAGGAGACGCTGCTGCAGTGCGACGAACTCGATGACGAGCGCGATCTCAGCGAGCGGCTGGTATGCATCGAGAGCATTAGCCTGCCGGATGTGGTGGTGGAGTCAACGACCGCCAGCACCACAACAGCCACAGCCTCGACCACAAATGGCAGCAGCAGCAACAGAAGTAGCAGTGGCAACCACAGCACAGAGGCACAGATCAATATCAATATTGCCAACGGGGCGGGGGGCAATAGTCTGGGGAACGTGCACTATATACCCATCCACGTTGAAGGACGCAGTCGCAGCAACAGTCCCAAGCAGCGCAGCCGCGACGACAGCTGTCTGGGCGAGAGCCTGGAGATCACCGAGGATGGTAGTGTCCTGAACAAGCCGGTACGGCAGGAGCACTCCTATGAGACACACGAGCTCAGGTAAGCACAACTATGATTATAAATAGCAGCTGCACGTAAAACTGAATGTCAGTTTCCTCTGGCGTATACTTGATGGATGTTGTTTCATCGAAAGTGCATCCCTGATGTGCCTCGATCAAGTGAGAGTGTGTTTGGCCTGCCTGATGGATGTTCTTCGTGCAGCAGCAACTGCGACGAATTTTATCAAAGCGATGCCAACAATTTCCCGAAAAACATCTGCATGTTGTAGCCAATTTATCTTGATCTTCATCATGTCATGGAGCGCTTTCAAGTGTGATTTTTTCTCTCCTCAAACTATAGATACTTGAGAGCAAAAAAGTGCATCCAATAAGAGGATTATTTAAGCAAGCAATTAGGTTAAAGATAGCTTCAATATACAACTAAATCTTTTAGTCCCAGCATTCCCCAGTGTCTGAAATTTGCTCCCTGAATTTCCTAAATTTTCCGGCATTGCTTGCACATTGAATTAAAAACAAAAAACATCTGCAATATTCTATATAATTTATTGCTGAAATAATTATGCAAATACTCGTAAAATTGTATATATTTTGGCACCCGTGAATGAAACGTACAATCTTTATGGAGCATTCCAAACATTGATATTTTCTCTCTCGAATACATGGAATATCTTGGATTTTCTTTATCTTTCTCTTTGTCTTCGACTTAAATTTCTAACTAAATTTCTCATTTAATTATCTCTCAAAAGCGATCTCTCATTTTCGTTCATTGTTTTTCTAATTTAGATATTCACAATTTTCCAGCTAGGGCGCCATTTCCTTTTTTAAATAGAACAAAAAACATATACAAAATATTTTATATTTTACGGAATAATTTTGCGTTGGCATCTGCCCATCAAAATCTCTATAGGGGTAACGAGTTAAGTGAGAGCTGATGGATGCACAAACGCTTTGAAGTGTTGGAAGTTTTCAATAAGTAAAAAAAAAAAATTCGATGGATAATTGCCACACACGAACATTTCTAAGGAAAACCCACTTGTTCTTTGTTACGTATACGCAATGTGAAAACAGTCGTTTTGTGGCACATTTATATGCCATTGTTTGGCCTTCTCAGGGCATGCGAAGATGACAGATTATGACAGCCGTGCGGCAAGTGTCTCACAGCGTAATGGCGCAAATTATTCGTATAATTATATATTAATGTATAAATTGTTGTTCAGTTTCAATATTTTAAAATTTTGATTTTTTGGTCAGAATCAGGGGGCAAAAATAAATTCACTTCGTCATTTGCTCGCTAGGGAATTTTCTTCTTTTTTTTTTGGCAACATGTTGGCCATTTCCCACGCTTGTTTTTTTGTATACCCTTTTTTTTGGTTAGGGTATGGATGACTTATGCATACGAGTTGCTACCACAGGATAATAAATTCATAGCTCTGATATCTTTCAGAGGTTAGAAGATCTACCCAAAATAAACTTATCCAATTTCAAGATGGGAATATTCTGGCCAACATTTAGCTGAAACAAAGCGTATCTAAATCTTCGTTTTTCTTTGTTCTTCAGTCATATTTTCTCATGTGCATAGAACACGATCTGCCTGCTCTAGTTTTCTAATTTTTCCCCCGCTTATTTTCGTCTTGTTGCAAAAAAAAGCAAACAAAAGCAAAAAAAAACTGTGTACGATGTACATTTTGAAACGTTCATAATTTAGAGCAATCTTGTGCGTGGTCGGTGAGGGGGTGGGGAGAAGACCAGTGCACTTGTGGAATTTTATTTGGGTTGTTCTTGATTTTGTTGGATAATTGATTCGGCGTTTCCGTGAGAACTCTGGCTGGCACTTGGCTGAAGCCAAAGTATATGTGTGAATTTCTGTTAGCATTGAAAGATTGTTTATAAAGGCAATGGCGGAACATGCGGCGTATGCGTAATTTCCTCCAACTAAGTTATGGGTATACTATCCTGCTGCTCATCATCACCCGCTGCCCCCCCGGTTTGTTTATTCAATTCAATTTGATGAGCAACTTGGGCATGAACAACAAAACCAACCAAACACCCAACTATTTGTTGAGGAAAGTTCACAGAGGCAGTGGCAGTGGCAGAGGCAGCGAAATAGAGGCAGAGATGCTGAGATGCTCTTGCCAAAAATAATTGAAATAACTTTCAATCTAAGTGCACGAGATGCATCTGTCTTACTCTGTCTATACCCGCTCCCCTATCTGCTCTCTCTCTCTCTTTTCTTCTCTCTGTTTCTCTCCATGTCTATCTCTAGAGACCAGACAAGACCGCGTGTCACAAAATTTTGATAAATTCACTGCCCATTGTCTATACTAGAAGTTTTGTACATTTAGTATATACTTCTGCTGTGGCATACAGTGCGTTGCGGGACTATGAGAACAAGCTGCAGCTACATTCGGTAGTGCATGAAAGGGAAACTATAATTCGCCTTACTTATCAGTTACAAGTTAAATTATTCAATGTTTATAAAAAATCACAAATAAAAGTTATGAGTGTAAAAAAATGAAAAGTCGATAGAAGTGACCTAGAAACATATATGAAAAAATATTTTTACCAGAGGTATCCAAAAACAAGATTAACTTGTTACCAATACTTTTATTTTTAATACATTTTTTATCACTTTTAATTTGTATAACAAAAATTCAACTATCATTTTTATTTGAAATATTTATTTTTTATTTTAAAATCAGAAATAACTTTTAAAAAATTATTTTTATTTCCAATTTTAATTATAAAACATGAAAATTTACAGTAATACATTTTTTTTAATTTCTATTTTATCAATTATCATTTTTATTTGAAATATTTATTTTTTATTTTAAATTCAGAAATAACATTTAGAAAATTATTTTTATTTCCAATTTTAATTATAAAACATTAAAATTTAGAGTAATACAATTTTTTTTTATTTATATTTTACTCAGAGTTTAGAATTCACTTATGGTTTAATTTGCAACGCAATTCAATAAATAATTTTATTTCATTGCTAAATGAAAATAAAAGAACATTCATTTATAATGGAATTTCTAAGGTGCTTAGCAGCCATATGATAACGAAACGTACTGCACACAAAAAGTCAGAGTGAGAGAGAGAGTTGGCAGAATGTACCTACAAGAAAAAAAAAAACCATACATATCGTGCGATTTAAAAATAAACTTTGCGCATTTTCGCAGCCACAGGAATCGACAAAGATAAATTCAATTAAAACGTATTTCATTCTGCGTTGAAAGCCAAAACAAAACAAAGCAAAGCACAAGCACCAAGCCCCAAGCCACAACAAACTACATATTATATAAAAATCTATAGCTGTATCTTTCAGTCTGCCTGTATCTGTATACTCGTATATCTGGTATATATTGTATCGCAACAAATTATGGTTGAGGAAGACATTCCCCAGTATTTTTTACACCTCATTCGGATTTAACGACCGACTTTTCAATTCGTAATTGCGTCAAGCAAATGTCTAGCTATAGGTGCAAAACGCGTGTGTCTCCATTCGAATTATTATTGCTATTATTATTATTTATATTTTGTACATTTATATATGTGCATATTATGTTTTGTACTGTGTGTCTGCGCTAGAGAACATCACGTTTGTGATTCATTTTGTTTGTGTGCCGGGGGATTATTCACAGACATATTCGCTTTGACAGCTGATCTATTACTGCCATCCGCCTTGGCATTACTCATCACCTGATCCCTTACTGATCTTGCAGAAAAGAGCTGAAACAGCAGAAGGCACGCTTCAGCAGCCAGCTGGACGAGGCCCACAAAAATGTCCATCAACTGGAGGCCAAAGTGGCTGAAATGCATCTCAAGATACAGAAATTTGAGCAGGAACTCTCCCTCAAGCAATGGAATGTGGAAAGTAAGTGCATTCATTAATTTGAAAACTATCTATGATAAATAATAATGTATATATTTAAGGACTCCAGGGCGAGCTGAGTGCGGCCCAAACGGATGATGAATATGTGCGAAAGAAACTGAAATTTCTGGAGGACGAAAAGGTTCACTTGAGGCACAAATACAGCGAAGATCAAGATGAATATCGGCTCAAATACAGTCAGTAGAAACACGTATATAAGCAGATCTATAAATGTGACAAATTTATGCCTTTTTGCAGACGAACTCGAAGCTCAGTACAACGATCTAACCGAGAAGTACAAAGAGACGCAGGGTCTGGCCAGCAGCCTGCAAACGCAACTGGCGGGGGCACAGACCGAGGCCGAGGAGTGGCGCAAGCAGGTGGAGCACATCCGTGAAGAGTTGGATGAACAGATACGCATTCTAAAGAATGCCCTGGAAAACTCGGAGGCAGAGCGCAAAATATGCGAGGACAAGTGGCAAAAGGAATTCGAGATGCTCAGGACCCACAATCGAGGTGCGTCTCCGGCAAACATTTATATTCCATTCATAGATTTATTCACCGCCCTGTTATGTTTTTTTAGAGCGCGAGGAAACCCTGATGACGGACTGCGAATGGCAGCTGCGGCAAATGCAGCGTCAGTGCAAGGATAAAATGGACAAATCCAATTACGAACGGAAACAGGCCTCTGCCAAGGCCGAGGAACTGGAGCTGGAACTGAAATCGCGTCACAAAGAGTCCGAAAATTTGCGCGTGTTCCAGGCGCAGGTGAATTCGCTGCGTGGCGTTGTCGGCGAACAGGAGCAAACCATTCAAACGCTCATGGATCGCATCGAAAATCTGAAGAGCGATCTGGCCACTGCCAACGAGAGTCTCGAGGCGCAGATTGAGGCTGTGCACAAGATCAAATATCAGTGTGATAAGTGAGTAATTTTTGGAGTTAAGAGTTAAGCTGGAATCAATTTAAATCTTTGCCTTTTTTTTTGGCAGTGCCATCTATGACAAGGAGCGTCAAATGATCTACAAAATCGATGAGGTTCGCAATGAAGCTGCTGCCTTCTGGGAGAACAAACTTTAGTAAGTGCTTAAAAATCAATTAAATAAAAAGATACCCTGATGCTTAAATTTAATTCTTTTTTCATGCTACAGCACAGAGATGACAAGACTGACAAATGAATTGGAGTCCGTTTATGTGGACGAGCGGCGGGATGCTTTGGATAAGCTGCAGAACGAGCATATCGAGGAGCTGAGAGCGCTGACCAATCGATATACGGCCAATGAGGATGAACTGCGAGCCGAGGCAAGCGCAAACCCCCCCCAACGATTATCTGCCATTATTTATGCTCTAAAGAAAATCCTTGTAGATCGATGAGCTGCATGAAAATCTGGAGCTTAAGAAGCAGGATTTCCTCACACTACGCGAACGTTCCGACAATGCCCTGCTGCAGACCCGCATGCATTTGGATCGGGCCGATCGCGAGTACCAGAATGCCATGTGTCGGGAGGAGGATCGTCGCGTCGAGCTGGAGGAGCGGCTCAAGAAGGAGTTCGAGGAGGAGAAAACCGAAATGGAGGAGAAGTTCCGCGAACGCCTTGGCCAGGTCAAGGATGAGTTTGCCAAGGAGCTGCAGCTGTCCACCCAGGACATGGTGGAATCCCATCGCAAGGAGTTGGGTAGGTCCACACACAGGATAATGGGTATTTATTTAATGATCGACTAATCGACCGTTCGATAACTGGCAGACTCGCAGAAGGCCAAACTCCAGGCGGAACGGGACGAGGCTCTGCAGGATCTTGTGGACCGACATCGCGCCAAAATCGCCGCTGCCGATGAGCGTTTCAAGTGAGTGTGTGGCATGTGGCAACACAGCCCGTGCACCATCCTGCCTGACCTTTGGCTTGAAATTGAATGCCTTTTACTGCCTCTTACTGTCACAACATTTTTCACAACCCCCCATCGTTTGATTTCGATATTCATTTTCATCTCGACACGTCTCATGTGTTTTTTGTTTCTTTTTTTATTTGCTCGGATTCGTGCAGCATGTTGCAGCAGCCGGGTTTCGATGATATCGGTGGTGCCACAGCGAGACGCACCGCCTTGTGGGTGCTGGCCAAGGGGGCGTGTCCGTATACGCCCACACTATATGTGCTATATCTGACCATGTCGCCACTGATCGCCCTCGCATGCTTGGTGTTCAATATTCTGGCTGTGCTCTATATCAAATATCGTCATCTGCTCAAGCGACACTAACTGCAAAACAAACAAAAGTTCTCTCTCTCTCTCTCCGAAATTAACATTAGCATTTAAGTTTCGTTACGATGTATGGAATACCCTATAGATACCCTATATACCCCCCATTCCCCGTTTAGAATACATCTCGATTACGTATCTCTGAATCTTTTTTAATTTCTCTTTCTCCTCGCTATATGTAATTGTGTGTTCTTTGTGTGTGTGTGTGTGTGTGACTGTGTGTGTCCAAACGAAACAATATACCTTCCGCACACCCTCTAAAATTCCGAAACACTCGAATCCTTTGCCGAAACTTCGACTCCTGCAGCGATTTAGAGCTTCGGCACCAGCGCAATCTGAAGGACCTGAAGGCGGCATACGATGCCGAGAAGGCGGCGCTGGATAAGCGTGACATCAGCAATGCCAACGAGATCGAGCAGCTGCACCGCAAGTGCCGTTGTCTAACCAACCTGTAAGTACTCCTCCTATCTCTCTCTCATCTCTCTCTCTCTTTCCGCTTAGCCGTGTTGTGGCTCTTTTGTCCCCACCCACTCTCTCTCGCATCAAGCAATATCTCATATTCTCTCTCTCTGCTCTGTAGATTCGAAGAGATGCGCATGCGCTATGAGCGTCGTGATCCCCGTGCCGACGACCTGCGCGAAATTTCCGAGCTGCGCACGCGCTGCGAGAGCCAGGAGCGGGACCTGTACGTCCTCACAGATCGTTTGCGTGAAATGCAGAACCAAATGGCGGAGATGCAGCAGAATGGCAAAACCGTCGGCAAGTCGATCAAGAAGCCCCCGCCCAAGACATTGCCCACCAGCTGTGACGTCATTTATGAGGAGAACGAGGAACGGGAGTCCCCCGAGCATGAGGCAGGTGATGACGAAGACGAAGAGGACGAGGAGGAGGAGGAGCCGGAGCAGGAGCCCAGCGACACGGAGTCGAACCACACAATTGAGGTCAATGGCAAGGGAACCTGCCTCAATGAGGACGACGCCCACCTGATAACGGCTGTCTAAACGATTTTGATCGATCTGTCACTTCCAAACCAAACATTTTTGGCTGTTTTTGTTTCTCAAAATAAATCCCAAGCGGTGGCCCTGAGGGTCAGCGGGGGACCAAAGTCTTGGCACTGAACCGCGCGACAACAAAAGAAAAAAAACCAAACCAAACCAGAACGAAATAAATGTAAATATTTTTAACAGAAAATTTCACAGAAATTCCCGTTTTTACATTGTTTTTAAATATTAAACGGATTCTACACCATATTTACATGGCAGGCCTTAACAGTTCACTAACAGATCATTAACAGTTCAGGTACTCTCTCTGTTGCTCATATGTGGAGCGCAAAAATAAGTCCGAGAGCGTAAAATCGCTCTCTTTGGCTCTGCATGGTATGTTAATTGTTAGGGTGGATATAACCTTTTATGTTTTTTTACCTTGCCTCCCTGACAGCATGCTTTCCAGCAACATTTGTCGGTCCACAGCAACATTTTGACGTCCCCAGCAACATACTTAGGTCCCTGGGCACATTTGAACGACCTTGCTCACGAACATGCTTAAACATGTCCAATCGGTCCCGTTTTTTTGAATCGAGTGGTTGTAACGGTTGAACGGCTGCTTCGCGAGTCTCGCGACAAAATTAAGAAGGAAAGCTAGCAAAAGCCGGTAAAGTCGGCCTAAGAAACGGAAAATTACAATTGAAATTAAATCAAAGTAATAACTATTCAAAAAAACAAACCGTTTAAGAAATTGTGATAATAATTTGTTGATTTTTTGTTAATATCGCGCTGCATCAACGTGGGTGGCAATCATAATCGTAATCGTAATAACAAATAAACGAACGCTGCCGGCTGCAATTATGAAAAGGTAGAAAGCAACAACAGAAAGTGAGGAGCAGCTGGAAGCTGAAGCCGGGGCCAGAGATTTTGTTGCATTGTTGTTTCCATGCCCCATGATGTTCCCCCAATTAATCTGCCGGCAGAGAGGTCGTTGGCGCTAAGGTCACGCAGAACCCAACCCAACGGAGCAGCGGCGTTTCGTGTGGAGTGCAAGTGACAAACAAAACACAGAAAAAAAAAAGGAGAAGCAGCGTTTTCTTAGTTCTCCCACCCACGCTCTAAACAACAGCAAAAACAACGTGTGTGTGTGTCGCATGGCTCAGGCAAACGGTTAATCTTCATAGCTGAGCGCGTGTGTGTGTGGTTGTGCGTGCCCGCTGTGACTGTGTGTGATTTTGTGTGGCTGCCCCGCTCTCTCCCGCGCAATTTTTGTAAGGAGCGAAAATCGAAAATGTAAGTGCCGCTACTTTTATTGCTTTCGTACGTTTAAGATCTGTCCTCTCCTTTACCTCTGGCCATGTTTCTTCGTTTTCCTTTTTCTCTTACTATTCGTACGTGTGTGTGCTGCAGCCTCCACCAAGCGCCGCATTTAAAGGATATTCCTAATCCGTTTTATTGATTGCCGCTCGTAGCAGAAACAGGGCAGGGTGCAGGGGCAGCAGGCAGCAGGCAGAAACAGCGACAGCATCACAGCTGGAGTGCTTCGTCTCTGTCTGTTACTCCCTGCCGCCGTGTGAGTGCGTGTGTGTGTGTTTGTGTGTTCTTGTTCTGGCAATCTGTGCTACACCCCACCCCCGCCGCCACTCTTATGCCTTTTTTAATGTTTTTATACCCTTTGCAGAGGATGTTATGTTTTTGAGCATCTGCTTGAAACGAAACGCAACAGAAGTTATTTTTTTCAGCCTAAAATAAATAGGTAATTCTGATTAAAATCAAAATAGAATTCGATATAGTCAGGTCTCTTTGCGTCCAAAAAAAGTTTTCTGAAACTAGGAGAGAATTCGGTTTTTTTTTAGACAAATTTCGCTGCCATATCTGTCGTGAATTTTTTCTATAGAATAAATAACTTTGACTACTCATACAATGCGACTCTCTATCAGGTTTTAAAATCTTTGCGTATATCTTTTTCTGGAGCATAAATATTCAGATGCCTTAGGAACCATCGCTCGAACATTTAAAATTCCGATTAAGAGTGTATTTTTATCCTCGAACTCCATCATATTTTTCTTGGCTTTTTTGTTGCCTTTGTTTCCCCGGAGGATTCTCCCCAGGGATTTGCTGACAAATGTTAATTATTTTGGCCTTTTGCTGTCGTTCGATCTTCCTTCTTCCTTTTGCTTCGCTTCGCTTCTGCTGCTTCTGATGATCTCTTTCCCCTGTCTGCCCTTATCTTGTGCTCATTGCTTAATTCTGCTTCTTATCTTTTTGCTTAATTCCTGAGCATTTCTGAAAATAACTTTATCGTGGCGAAAAATTAAGAGAAATATGTGCGGCACCTGCCCCCGTGGGCATAACTCAATAATCACATCAAATGTCTCCACCAGTCACTCCCCCCGCTCTGCTCACACTCCTTTTCCTTCATTCGTTTTGCTGTGCAACACCTCCTTAAGAGGTGTGTCCAGCGTCCCCCCCTCGCGCACACTCACGCTCTACAATGCTCTCTGCCCGGCTAATGCCGCACAGCTGCGCGCCATTTAAGTCGCGGACAAGTGTTTTGCCGGCATCCGCGGAATGCGACGACGACGGAGCCCCGGCCCAGGCCCAGGGCCCAAGCGAGAGAGACCTGAACCGAACAGAAGCCGCAGCAAAAAGTGGCAGGCAACATTGCCACCAATTATGCGATAAGCAAGTGGAGAGCCACTACAGCTACAGCTACAGATGCTTCTCCTCCGGTTTAGCGGCGACCCCCTCCGCGCTGCTTTTAAATTTTTGCCTGCTTAAAGCTTTAACGGTTTGTGCCGCTCTTTAAGATGTAAACTTAGAGAAAAAGAGCAAAGAGAGTGGCGCCTTGAAAGAAAGCAAAAGTTGTATAGTGTAACTTCTCTTAAGAGGAAGGACCCCCCGAATAGAGTAATTTAAATCCCGCATTCCATGTGGCAGCTCTCGCAAAAAAGAAAAAAAAAAAACAAAGCTCACCCCATAATAATATTTAATAATAATAATGAAGAAAATTGAGACTGGAAAAACTAACAAAAGGCCGCGTGCTTCGGCTCTCAGGGCGCTGCCTTCAAACGAAACGAAAAGCGTGCAACAAGGGGGGGCAGGCAGGGGAACAGGCAGAACAAGAGCAGAGGAATGACCTTATATTGCAACTGCAACGCAAACAAAGGTCCGCTAATGGGGAGGGAGAGAGCAGCAGCAGAAGCAGCAGCAGCAGCAGAGAGATCAGCGCCGGCAAACCGGTCGATGGATGCCCATTGGAGGTGGCGGGCTGGCTCTCTTCCTGTGCTCCCACTAGCTCTCTACTGCTGTGCCCCCGCCCATTGTGCTGGTCCGTGGCTACTGCGGGGCAATTGGGCCAAAAGCATAAAAATCAGTCAAGAGTCGTCGGCGTTGCAGCGTCCAGCGCCCAGTGCCCACAGTGCCCACTGCACGAGCATTAAAAGCGACAAACAAACAAACAAACAGAACTTCACCGAACGAACGGGACGGGGCGGAATGGGACTCGGAACTGTGGACCTGCGGACCTGAATCTCCTCCTGCTTCCAGAATCCTCACTCCTCCGTGCTCCTCCTGCTCCTTGTGCCACCTAAAGGCATAGGCCCTGGCCACAGAAATCGATTTTCTCGCAAAACTTGGCCAGGGCTCAGTGCGAGTCCAGAGCCGCAGGGCACAGGGCCCCCACTTTATGTTTCTTTTCCACCGCGACTGCTGCTGCTGCTGCTGGTGCTGCTGCTGCTGCTCCCACTGCTCCACTTCTTCCACTGCTCCTTCTTGCTTCCTCCTTGCTTCCTCGTTCCTTCCTTCTTCTCCTTTTGCTGTAATGGATATGGTCCAGGCGCGCGCGGTTTTTTGATGATGATACTCTTGATAATGATGATTGAAATGATGATGATGATGCCACGGCGTCGCCGCCGTCGCCGTGTTGTTTAGTTGTCTCTCTCTCTTGCTCTGTGCTTCTTCTCCTTCCCTGCCCTTCTCGCTGAAATTGCAATTGCAATTTTCTCCAACTGCAACTTACCCCAACCGACCAACCGACCGCTGCTGCTGCTGCTGCTGCTCCTGCTGCTGGAGGGTTAGTAAATCTGCAAATTGCATTCGCCCAGGAAATTTAGTAGCCCCCTGAAACCCCCCACATGGAACCACAGCATCAGACTCGAGAGTTATTTAATTTGTGTTATAAATAAATTTGTTTAAAGCAATAATTGCCTCGAGGGGGGAAGGTGGAATGGAAGCACTGTAAATGTTTGCCGAGAGAAGCATAAAAGAGTGGAAGAGCGGGAGAGAGCTTTTGGATAGTTTAACTGCAAAGAAATTCAAAAGAGAGTCAAGCGTATAGCAGATGTTTTGGTCTTCTCTCTCTCTCTCTTTAAAAGAAAGATCTTTTTGCTAATTGAAATCCTACTTTAATACAAAGAGTGGATGAGGATTAGAAGAGTGGGCGGGAGGGGATGAAAGGCCAAACCAATTCCCGAGAAGAACAACATAATTTAAGGCCTAGACACGCAACAACAACATCGGGGAACAGCAACAATAACAGCAACAACATTTGCATGACCAAAGCAGCAATTACTGAACTGATGCTGCCCCCAAGCCTTTGCCACCTGCTAGTCTTTGAAATTTCTCTCCTTCTATCTCTGTCTCTGCTGCGTGTGTGTTCCCTAGGAGCTAAACTGCCAATAGAAGGGGGGGACTGTGGGTAGCGGGAGTCATAGAGTGAAAGAGGGGGGTCTAAGGTAGAGAGTGCCTGTTTTTCAAGTTGTCTGCAAACGACACCCAACGATGACATCGTCCGTCGCCTTTTGCACTGATTTTTGCCGTGTTCCCTTGTGGGCCCCCCCGCCTGGTCCTTGGCTCATCAGCAAAAAAACAACAAATCAACGGTTAAAAGAGTGCAGGGAGGGGTGTAGATGAACAGGCAGAGGCATCAATGACAACCAAAACAACAACAAAAACAACAACAACGACGACGACGAGAGCGGAGTAGACCTTGGACTGCTTGCTTGCATCCCTCCTCAGACCCACAACTGTTTATTGCATCCCTATCTAGCTATCAGGCTAGAGAGGGAGGACCGACCCGCAGAGACCGACCCCCATTCAGAGAGAGAGAGAGAGGAGCAGCAGCAGCAAAAGGAAGAAACCGGAGCAGAGGAGAAGGAAGCAGAGCATCAGGCCATAAAGCAGTAGAAAGATGCAGCGACGGAGCTTTTTGCATGCTGCATTTTTACGGTTGTTCCTCTCTTCCTGTTGTGCTTGTACTTTGCATTCACTCTCTCTCTCTCTCTACCTCTACTCGTATGCCCTCTTCTTCTGCTTCTTATTTTGGTGTTGTTGTTGTTTTTGGCATTGCTTTAATTATTGTTCCGTTTCGTCTGCCATTTGCTGCTGCACTTTTTCTCGTTTTTTGTTGTTGTTGTTGTTTTTGTTTCTTGTTTGTTTTTGTTTTGCTTCCCGTTTTTGTTTTTGTTTTTATTTTGTTTTATTGCAGTTCTTCGTTGGGGGGGAGGACAGTGGATGGATAGCATGCTGTGTGTACAAGGGGGAGGGAGTGGGTAAAATAATACAATAGGCTCACCGAATCACTTAAATCATTCACACACACACACACAGAGCTTCTTGGTTCGCGGCATGCGAACGGATATGGGTGTAATGGATATGGCTGATTGAAGAGGGAAATGTTAAGAGGAATCTCTTTGGAATGGAGAGATAATTTACTTGGATATACTTAAGGCTGTTTCTATGGAGAATCTGCCTGCATTAAGCCAAATTAATCTGCTTTTGATCCCATAGTTATCTACCTCTGTTACTGCACTGCTTCTGTTAAGATCTGTTAAGACCCTGCTTAAGATCTGTCTCTGTTAAATCTTCATGCTCGCACTGCCTCTCGCTTGGTCCCTCTCTTCCGCTCTTTCCTAAATCATTATTGTAGATGATTTTCATGGCTGATTCATACCCAGCATTTGTTGCATTCCCTGCACGGCACGAAAGAATTCTCTTTTAAATCGTTTTTCCACATTCTTTTTTTGCGCCTTTCTTTTTTTCGTGTCTGTGGAAATGCAATTGCATTCCCCACTCCCCACTTCCCACCCCAGCCTGCCAACATTTCTAAAAAACCAAAACCCACAAACCCCCCCACCGCCGCACCAAAAACATTTCACTTTTCTTTGTGCAAAACGAATCAAAACAAAAACCGAAACAAACAAAAAACAAAATAAAAGGAAAGGAAAAAAGAAACAAACAAAATGCAAAGTTCGAAGCCCCCGGAACGCTTTTGCCGGTTACTTTAACAGCAG